AGACCAAAAATGAAAATTCAAGGGATAGCTAAACTTGTTTTGATGGTAAGTCACAGGTTATCGAACAATGCACCTTTTGTTTTAAGTGCCATTCCTAGGGTAGGAGAGCGTTGTTCAATCACTTAGGGGTGCAATGGCTCGTGGTCAAGCGGTTAAGCGTTCTGTGCGCAAGGATGCTGTTACCCGTGAATACACTATCAACTTGCATAAACGCATTCATGGCGTAGGATTCAAGAAGAGAGCCCCGAGGGCACTGAAGGAAATTCGCAAGTTTGCTCGTAAAATGATGGGCACCGATGACGTACGCGTCAATGTGCGGTTGAATGAGTAGGTTTTATTGGTCTAACTATTTGGTATCGAGGTTTTTGTGGTCCAAGGGTGTACGAAACGTACCCTACAGGGTGCGGGTTAAGCTGGCGAGGAAGCGCAATGAAGATGAGGACAGTCCTCATAAATTCTATACTCTTGTCTCCTATGTTCCTTGCAGCGATTTCAAGGGGAAACAAAACATTAATGTTGAACCGGAGAAGTAGTTTTCGTGAATAGAGCTATTCTCAGGTTCAAGTCTTCTGTGAATGAGGTTGTTCCTCGTTTACAATGGTCCTGTTAATTCTTTGACGTGTTCGTTAGCTAATGGACCTTAAGCTTTGTTTAAGGTATTGAGACGTTTCATCTATATGAGTAGTTCATATGACTGGGTTGTCATTGGGCCTATTACCTTTGGTTTTGGGAGTCGGCGCGTTTTGTTCATAGCGTTTTTGGGACGTTTATGTTGGTGGTTGGTCTTTATAGTTTAAATTGTTGGATTCTTACCGGTTTCATTATGGATTGTGGATTGTAGGTTTAGGGTTTCGTCGGTGGAGTCTGTGGATGTCAACGCCTCGTTCAGCGTTGGCCGTTGAAACCGACTAGGTGGAGTCATTTACGAATGCACCGATGGGTTGGCGCCGTTGGCTTCCCTTGGTCTCAATGTGCTCTAGCTTTTGTCTTGGGGTCGATCCTCATCCTAGCTGGTATCATGTTTTGTTTGGACTCACCCATCAGGCGTTTGGAGGCGAGTGTGCTGTTCGAGTGGATCATCAACTGGAGGCGCTTGAAGGTGGTGCCGTTTAGGGTCACGGGTGTCACCTGTGCCAGGGGTGGGAGCGCGTACGCTGCTTCTTAGATTCGCCTCTCAGAAGTATTACGTGGTCACGATGCCGAGCATAGTGTCAACTGGGGTTTGGTTATATCGCTTCCGGACTTCTGGATTCACGTTGATTGTTTGTTGTAGGTGCACGGCAGTCAATATGACGCACGAAGTGCATTCAGTAAGTGAAGTCACTTTTTGAGTAATGATTTATTAATTTTGCGCTGTAGCAACAGAGAGGAAATATCTTTTTTGTATTTTTAGCTATTTCAAAGGATGCCAAGAGCTGTGCTTCAAAACATCGCTAGTTTTTTAGATTTTGTCAGTTGGTACAGCATACAGAGCATAGATCCAAGGTGGCGAGTTTGCTCGCCAAGTTCCTTAACCTTTGTTGACTCTGTACCCTCTGAAGATTTCTGGGAGTCGTCCATCACCAAGTCTCATTGCCGTTTTCACTCGATCTGCGGTGATAGCTTCTATGGTGGTGTGGTGAAGCCAGGTGGTTCCTGCGGTGTTCTGATTCGGATGCTTAGACTTCGTCCAAAGTGTTTTATCGAATTGACTAACATTGACCTAACCGCTCAGTGCCAGCATCTTTATCAGATAGCAAGTCTTTTTTCAGCCAGGACGATTGCCTTGTTTCCTTCCCTGAGGTCTCTTGCACTCCGACTTGTGGTCGACTCGTCATATCCGCATGGTGGACAAAATTTTATTAAAGCGTCGGCAGTTCCTCCGAACTTAGAAGTCCTAATTCTTAGAATAACCTGTTGTTTACGCTGTGGAAACAATGCTCTTGATTCGTTGCATCCGCTCATAATGAAAGTCAAGCGTTTGCAATGGATTGTAGAAGATGATCCGGTTGACAAATTTCTTAGTTTCTTTCCCTGGCCTCTTTCTTCATTGCAGTACCTGGAAACTTTGAAACCGATTATTGACCGTATGTTTTTAATTTCGCGGAATAATTTGCAAATACTGATGCCCAACCTTGTTTGGATAGCGATCCATACTGCTGGTAATACTTCAACCATAAGTGGAATACATAAGATCAATGATTTCTTAAAAACAGTTTCGCATCCGGAGTCACTTGTTCGGCGTTCGTGTGCTGATCTCGTCCGTTGTAAAAGGGTTACATTAACAGAGAGGATTGAATATAAGGCTTGCAATATGATAATTCCAGCAAATGATTTGAATGCTATGGGTAATCTTGCCAAAGTTACCGCTTTTTCTTTGCGGTGCTCGTCGTGGAACCTTGAAACGTTTAGATGCTTGGAGTTTTTCCCATTGCTTGCAAGTTGCAGTAGGCTTGTTGATTTAACTCTGCCAAGGGAATTGCTCATGGCATGGTCGAAAGACGTTAACTTCCGAGAGGAGTTTGTTGCATTGTCAAGAGTTTACTCCATTGCCTCTGTTCGTCGACTGCATTTTGCCTCATCTGACCTGATTGTCAATGTAAATTCAGTGTCTTCCCCAAAAATTTTGGGGGATGAATCGTGTGACAGCATTTTCGCAAATGTTTTTCGGATGTTTCCAAACATAAGAACCCTAATTATTGATCCAGTTCCCTATTTTCACTGTGGTTCGGCATTTCTACATCTCGTAACCTTTACCAAGCTCAAGAAGCTGCTGATCACCCATTCTCGTAGACTACGCTTCGATGCGAGCACTCGACGTTTAGGACTATCGAAGTGGTTACCAAGATGCGGAACCCTGGAGGTTCTTATCCTTTACACACAGCAATTCAATTGGCTCGAAGAAAGGACGGAGAGCGGTTTGTTACTTTGTCTTCAGAAGAATCAAAGCTTGCGGTATGTATGTATAATCTGTGAGTTATCTCGAGGTTCCGAGTCGATATCTTTGACAATGGCTGACGTGGCGAGAGTTGCAAATTGCTGGGAACAGCGAGAGAGCTGTCACGGAAAATATGTGATTTTTATTTTTAACTCTACAAATGCTCTTTATTGCTTGACTGCAAAACCGAAAATTGGGAGATCCGATACTGGTCACTCTTTTGAGCGTCGTGAGTTTTACCGGTGGATGGACCTCATATCAGCATATCCCGAGCTCTATTCTGTATTTTGGAGTGATCTTACGAGGGTGCTAAAGACTACAAGAGCCTATTAGATCTCTTGAATTATTTTGATTTGTGCAGGAGTGTGTGAGTGGATTTGTTCTCCTTTATTCAAGAAAAGTATCATATTACATTAGCGTTGGAACTGTATTTAACAGCAAAGATAATAGGTGAATGGCAGGTAAAAGTATGGTTACGGGGATTTTTAGCTAACACTGGCGATTGACCTTGAGCCCTGGAAGTCTAGATTGTGCTCGCGGAATGCCTTGCCGCCGATACATCCACGTACACCAGTGTGCTCTGTTCGCTTCGGGTTTGGCAGCATGCCTGCTATTCTTGCGGAGTCTTTTTTGGAGTATAGGATATCTAAGAGGCATGAACTCGAACAATCCAGGTTTTGAAGGAAGGAGAGTGACTCCAAAGCCTAGTTTAGAAGAGTGGGTTCCTTAAAGTTACGTTTGTGTTTGCGGTGGGGTAGTGCGTGCACGACTTGCAGAGCTGTGCTGACCTCACGCATTGCATTGATCTGGCCCCTAAATCATCGCATAAGAAAATAGTGATTACCCATCGACACGGAGAGCCCAGGAGGCTTCAAAACTGTTGTAGCAATTGGCGTTTCTTTGTGATATGTACTGAATTAAGAGAGACTTGGAGCTCAGGAGTCCGTGGGTCACATCGTTAGTCTCATTATGTCGCTGCGTACCAGCAAGCTTTAGTTTTATAGCACAAATCCAGGCGCTTCATTGGTTGCACAGAAGAGCAAGTCGCTGAAGATTTAACAAGGAACGAAAATGATGTCTCGATTTGGCAAGTATCTAAGTCCCTAGTTTTTTATATTTTGGCACATTACGTCGCTAAGTTTTCTGTTGGGCAGGAATGATGCAACTAATCGTTTGATTAGGCAAGGAATCCTTTATGTTATAATGGGATATGTGATTTCGCAGTCGGTTCATAGCTTACCGGCCCGTATAAGCCAATTTCGTTCTTCTTTGGCATCGACAACCAAAGTTAGGGTCGAGATTTTCATGTCAAGCGGCGAACGTGAAGAGTATTAACACGAGGGTTCAGATGTGATGGAATTACAGAGAAGCACATAATCAATGCAGTTGAAAGTGCGCTTCTAGTAGATTTTGCTATACCCTAAGCATATCCAAAAAAACCAAAACGAGCAGTCCGTACGGGTTATAGTGACATAAAACCCTGTGTAAATATGTTCAAAATGCAACGGCAGCTTCCACCATTTGGCACGATCATCAGTCATTGCCAGTTGCGACAACTTTTTTTATGCGAACACTTGTATGCTTGGTGGTTACATTAGGATGCGTCTTACCCATATTTGTGCGATCTGGACTTTAGGACGAGCCAAGGCTCATTTCATTCTTATTCTCTCAGAATACGTGTTTTACCCAACGTAATGCTTTCTTCGACTTGGAGGGAAGGCTCGGAAAGCTACAACAGTAGCATTCCTCCAAATATTGATAGCAGACATCCCACCAGGCGACAAAGACATGAGACCCAAGTGAATATCCCTGATCAAAGTCCAGAACGAAAATTGCCTGTTGCAGTAAAAAAGCATTGCAACACTTATTTGATGCTAAGCCGAGGAGGCTTCTTTGTAATGCTTTGTTTGTGTGTCTACCTGATGTTCGCAACCACTTTAAGATTGATCTGGCCCTTGTACTCGTGGGCTGGCCTTCGGATCATGCTCAAGTTCACTTGCTCTGTTCACTTCAAAAGAAGAGAGAGGAAGTGTAATGTTTTGTTTATGTGACCACCTGACGTTTGGCGGTCATGTTGGGATTTTCTGGCCCTTGTACATGTGGGCTAGCATTCAGGTCATGCCCAGACCCATTTGCCCTGTTCTCTACGGAATACATGTATCCAAGCTCACTTATGCCTTCTTCCACTCACTGGGAAGTCTCGGGATGCTGCATCAGGTCAACTAATTGGCAATCGATGGCATGCCTCTTTCATGTTGATACATCTTCTATTCATATTATAAACCTCAATCACAGTCTTTATCACAGACCTGGCCTTTTAATTTTCTAGATTAGTTGTGCAATATGATGGAGAACAAAAAATTGCGAATTCATACCTAATTTAATTACAAATGAACTAACTCCTATATTCGATCCCTCTATGAAATCTATCCTTAAGTTGTTTATTCCTCATTGGACAACGAGAGAATTTTCTGTTGGTTGGATGAGGTTTATCCATTGTCTCCCAGTTTTTGGATTGTATTTCCTTTAGATCTTGCATAAATTCAATGTTCTCTGGGCAGATTTTGTCACTATTGGCACTAGCAGCCGTGTTGTTTCTTTATAGGTGTTTCTTTATTTCAGTCATGATTGGTTCACTCATTCTTTAGGTGACTGTCATAGTTGATCTGGCCTTACTTCTTCCTATTTTGTCTCTGTGCGTAATAAAAACCTCAAAGTAAATTTCGGCAGCTCAGTAAAGTCCTGGTTTCCCTTATGGCGGCAAATCATAAGGTATCGCCTCTACATTTTTTTTTCTTTTGGTTTTAGTGTCCCCTTCGATGGTTGGCCCGTTTCCCATATTCAAATTAGGTATCCTCGCAGTTAAACAGATCAGCCGCCCGGTCGCTAATCGTCTTAAGCAAAAGGCCTCTTGTAACGGATTCTTTCGAAAATATTTGTGCATCCCGTCAGGGCAACGTAAGCTATGGAATGCTCCTCTACTCCCTTTTAGTTTATCATGTATGGAACACACGCCTGAAGCTGAAGCTACTGGGTCTGGGCAAACCCAAAGATGTAAAGAGGCTACCTGACGAAAGTGCCGCCGAGGTAGGAGCCGAAATCCTCGGTGAATGCATTATGTTCAGCATAGGTGCATTCTTGCTGTTTCTCGAATACCGACGACAGTCAAAAAACGAGGTGGAAAAAGAGCGAAAAGCACGATCTGAGCTAGAATCTCTACAAATAGCGGTACAGGATCTCGAATCACGAGTCGCTTTCCAATCTGAAGCTCTCTACCAGTTTTCAAGGCGCCTTGAGAAGATCGAGTAGCGCCGATTACCAATGTTAGTAAGATCTTATCGCCAGTAAATGGTGTTACGGTCTTACACTGTTGTAGCTTTTGACATACCTGTGTTCGGCGTTCACTTTGAAGGGGATGCAACCTTCTGTGACTCCTTTTGGAAATAGGTTATCCTTCAAGCTAATATTTGTCGGTTTATGCTTCATCCAGCAGCTATTCCTGTGAGATGGTGAGTCATACTGATGATTAGACTCGCGCTGCGACCCTATCTCACTCGTCCCGTTAAAGCAGGCCGACCTCGTGATGGATGGAGAAAAGTCTGTTCTCAATTGTCCTGTCTATATTCAATCTCTAATTGCTATATTTTTACCGGAATCCATCCGAGACATACTAAATCCGTTTCGGTTATGATCCTGAATTTCTTGCATAGTCTAACGGGCGTTTTAATTCCTTGTGTTGGAATTCCGGCAGTTTATCTTAAATTCATGCTCTTGCATAAGAAAAGATACAAACGTCTGATGTAGAAATGAATCAGTGACGTAAGGCAGCGACACTCGAGCATCGCGCTTCCGAGGACAGCGCATGGATACCTGAGCCAGTCGCTAGGACGGGTATGATAGAGAAAAGCCAATTTCACTCAGTCCCTATTTACAAATGGTCACTGTGGGCACATCAGAAACCGCGGTGGGTGAAGTCGCCGAATCGCCCATCGTCGTCTGAGGAAGTGTCAGAACACATTCTAGGTTCCTCGATGTGTGGTCGCTTCTTTGCCTGTGGCGGAGTGCTAGAGTGCACTCCCAGCAAGCCCTGTCGTACTTGCTGCTGGTGCTGTTGCCACCTAATTCGAGGACTAGGACTCTCTGGAAGTCCCCGAGGTGGTCTACCGCTGGCGCTGCCAACACTGGAGAGAATAGCGGTGAGAGAAGACGGAAGATGTCGGAGCTGTTGTTGTTGATCTATCCAATGGCTGCCACTGCCGTTAGATGACATCATTCCTCCAGGAGATGGAACTACATTCACATTTGATACGCTCAGGCTTGGAGAGTAGGCAGCTACATGGCAACGGCAGTGAGAATAACCTTAGACCTCGTATAAAGCTTTTCTGTAATGGAATGCTCATAAATTCGTAATGAACCACCAGTAAAGTTAGGAAAAGTGTACGCCAGCAACCTGCTACTAACCCTCTTACACTAAGGGTATGCATTTAAGTACGCGAATTTCAAATTGGGAAGCATTGAAAATATGGAAAGGCCTTAGAAGGTAAACTTGCATGTGCTCTCAAAGCTTTCCGAAGAAACAGGAACCGGGTTGGAAACCGGATTAGACGAGCTCAGAGGAGGTTGTAGCGGCGTTGTTTCAGCCGTAGTGGTAGGGGCTGACGCTAACGTTGCAGAAGTACTAGACTGAAACTGAGCAATGGCATCTTTAAGAGTGGGTAAGAAATGTCCGGAGTCATCAAGATGGCCCAAATATCCACGACGAATTTCTTCCTTGTTGGGGTAGGGGCGTCTAGGATCCCCCGGAACCCAATTATCGGGAGCCAGAGCACCGTAGCTGCAGCTAATGCGATGTGCAAACTTAATGAGCTCATCTACATCTGTTGGATTTTTTACTGCTTTAACCATGGCATCCAGTTTTTGCCTGGAATAGTATAAAGCAGTGCTCTACTCGATAATTAGACAGAATCTTCGCGTACCAAAAGTAGCTCACACTTTTTTAGTTGCCTCTGACAAGCGCTTATCTGCAGGTCGGAGTTACTACAGTCAGCTCGCAGCTTCTCTATCTTACTTTGAAGCTCCATCTGCGCCGACACTAAAAACAGTTACCTTGTGATAGTAGCTACCAGTTCTCATGGTCGCCTTTATTTCTTTGTCTTTTTCTAATAATGATAGGACTATGTGTTCAATATCATCGAACCTAGCTTTTCTATTAATTTTCTCGAGCAATTCCCTTAAAAGTCCATCAATTTCTTCCAACTGGCAGAACAGCCGCTGCCTAGTGGATATTCCGGCTGACATTCTGAGCTACCTCATTGGGCGCTAGTTTACCTGCCTGGCAGCAACTACATCATCTGCCGTTTTTTAAAGGTCGTATAACATTCCAATGCGAACAAAGGAGGAGTGTCCTTTCTTCATATTCTTATTATTATTGTCCCAGCCTGATTAGTAGACTAATTAAAAAAGATTACTTAAGTGCCATGATAATGGATTCGAATGCAATTTGTCCTTTCGAAGTAGTGCTGAAAAGAGAAAAAGGTTAGTGAGATTTAAGGCATGCCTTACTGTAGTACAAAAAGCTGAACGCTGTTTGAGCAGCTATAGTCTCCTAATAACTGAGGCACTGTTCAACTTCCTTGTGAAAACAAGCATACTACCATGCAAAGGTGGAAGTCGTTGGTAGTTTGCTCGAAATTAGCTGGCAATCCTAGTCGATTCGGAGCATTTATCTGTCCTTATGATGCCCTTAATATAGACTCCTCACCAATTTCTTTGCGCATTCCGTAACCAGTGTACTCAACAAGTGCCTCCGGTTAATTGTACTGACAGCAAACCAACTCAATCAACCTCCCAAAACCCGATAGCGAGGGTGACAGTGTCAAACGCTTGCTAGTCCTATTATCGCAGACACATGTGGAAAGAGACAGGTAATGTCACAAAAGCACCATGAGTGGCTACATATCTGGCGAAAACTGCTGTTTTCACTGTCCCACATACCCCGTATGTTTCAGAAGTTGACCAACCGAATTAAAAAGTAATGATGATAACAGACACGCTCCATCACAGTAATCCATAAATTTCTACTAGTTTGCTAATTCATGGCAGATGGGGATTTCGCAATGGGAAGACCAGAGATAAGAGGATTGTTGGAAGCATTAGCTTTTTTGGGCGATGCAACTTGTTCACACGGTGTGAGATGTGGGGACGATAGGCGATGTTGAATTATTGATGCAGAGTTTCGGTATCCCTGCGAAATCTTGCAGTCGGTGTCCACTCCAGTGCTATTGCGCCTCAAGTAATCGGTTGGCAGTCGTATTTGACTGGGAGGAGCAGATTCCTTTTCCAAGAAGTTTGCGAGAAGCTCAATGAATGACTGCTAAAAGAACAGATTTCTTCCTGAATTAGATGCTCTAAATAAGTTTAGGCAAATAACACGTCCTAAACTGCCTTTCCCTGTGTAAGGTTATTCTTGCAGGTAGCCAATACCACCATCAATCTGCATTTCAAACCAGATTGACCCTACCAACCTCGGATTTAAGGCTTTTCTCCACTGTTGACGCATCAGATCTCCAAAATAGTTCCTTCCAATTCTTGGCGATAGGTTCATTGAAACCGAGCTGAAACGAACATAAGCACAACAATTATTACCTTTAAGCAAAATATTTATGGACTCCTAATGCTTAAGAGTTTAACTGCAGAAAAGTGAGATGTTAAAACAAGGGAAATTTAACGGTTCCATCTTGAACAAAAGGAAATCTCCCCAACTGAAATGACTTGTGGTTAATAGCAGTGAAGTGACTGTTGAGTTGATGTATGTAGTTTCTCACAGCAAACATAGTTTTAAATGTGATCGGCCAAATGCATCCAAAAGAAGCATGTACACCAGTTTAAGCCCACAGCTTGAAGAGTGAGAAGCAGTGCAGCACGAACCAGAGGTTTCAAGTAGGTATTGAGCAAAGAATGAAGCCAACCATTCTTACCAAGTCGTAGTCTTCAGACGTAAAGTTGAGGACACTTCCAAGAGAACGAAATGCTTCAGGTCGTTTTGCTGGCGGGAGTTTCATGCAGCTTATTAATAGACTTTTCATGACGGATCTATTTTCGATAAATGCATCGTAAGGCAAATAGGAGTGGGTTGTTTATTTCCTATGCAATAAAGACGCACTTGTCTAACTTTCCATCGAGTTCTTCTGCCATCTCCTTCATTTTGCCCTTAAGAACTTTGATACGTTCCTCGTAATGACGAGCTAAAGAGGAGGCAGGACGAAATTCAAGAAGTAGCCTCAAAGCACATTCAAAAGACTGCAGAGACGGACATTGCCATACAAGAGCCTACCTAGCAAAAGCCCCAAACCACTCATTTTGAACGAACTAAATAGGTCTTATAAGCACCCATTAAGTATCGTCGCAAGTAATTAGAAATTGCACCAATGCATGCATAAAGCAAAGTTTAGAAAAGATGCCGATGTGACAGTTTTTAACAAAATTACTACAGGCAAATATGAAAAGTAGGTCATTTTTAATTGGGAACGTTCAAGAAGAGCCTTAAACCCCAACGATATTTTGTACCAGACTAAGCGAGTTCAGTAATAATGACATGAATGATGGGAACAAATACGCTGATAGAAAGGAGGAAGAATAAGGTAAGTCGAACCTAGAGAATAAGCTTCAGAAAGGCGACTATCATGCTGCTTTAACTGTTCTTGAAGGGCACGATTATTTGTTTCGACATCCCCAAGACGGGCGACTTCTACCTCCAAATTCTTAACGAGCTGACGCAAACGCTCTATCTCCTGCTGCAATCGCTCATTCTCAAGTCGGAAGTGCTGCGCTGTTGCATCCGCCTCCATTTGTTTTTCTAGAATTAGAAGAAAATCGCTATGAAGGGAGAATAAATTTATAGCCCATCGTCCAGATAAAGTTAAAATCTATTGAGAGGGATTGCAGCCTTTAAATTAAACATTCGGTTTAACTCAACTCCTCTTTAGTGAAGAAATTCGATATGAAGAATGAAGAAATGATAAATGCATTTGTAAATGGGACCTGTGTAAAAATCGCCCATCCCTCCTGGATGCACTCATCCTACACCAAGACTCGCTGATGGTGGCAAAACTCTTGGACCAAGACGTCATTCCGTTAACATGAGGACTCTAGGCTGTATTTAGCCGTTCTAGCTTCAATAAGATAATTTTAAGCTATCTTAGTCATAAAATGCACCTTGGACAAACGCATCGACCTCCGATCCACATTCATATGCCGGATATTGCGTAATTATCAGTCAAGGCTTCCAAAGACTGTTAGTGCAACACATGACACCAAAACCGTATAGAAGGACCATCAAGCAAAGGGGACCTCAAGTACAGAACGAACCAAAGATCCAGGATTGGACCAGCTCAAGAACGGTCCCACAAGTGAACGGGAAACACTTACCCTTTTCGAGACTGTTGAGGACCTTTTGCAGATTCGTGTAGCTTAACTGGAATGTCGAAAGCTCGGCCTGAAAAGTACGACAGGCCTCGCGGGCAACGTTACGCTCTTCGAGAGCGCACCCAATCTGCTCATCGGCCGAGGCAACGAACCCCTGCAGCGCAGCCAACTGCTCCTCCGTCTGGCCTAATTTCGCCCTCAGGGAAGCCTCGCGCTCCTCCGCTGCAACAGTCTCCCGTGTATAGCTCTCCTCCGTCTAGGCATTCCATCGCAAAACAAAAGACATGGATTTTGATGCCCCGAAAGCAATGAGCCATCTCCCACTTACCAGATAAACACTAAATTTTCTTCAGATTTAAAGGTTATTACCTTACCAACCGTTTCACCAAATCGCACCTCGAACAAACTTGTTAGGCTCAAACTAGTACATATGCACTGAATTGCATGTAGCTAATTCTGGATGTCGAATGCGATCCAAGATATTCTTCTGATGTAGCATTGCAACAAGAACAACTAATACTGTGGACTTCAGTCTTTCGACCAGCTAAATAACGTGCCTAAATCAAACCCATCGCAAGAATTTTTCCATCTAGGCTGAAATCAGTTAGCAGTATTTTTAATGGGAACGCCAAATGACAATTTTGATTGCATTACATGCATTTTCACACCGTTTATCTACGCACTGACTACTAAACAAGGGGGTTTTCCGATCAATGATTCATATAACTGCCAACAATTAGACCACAGGCCAGATGATCAATCCTTAAACGTTAATACATATACGAAGTCCTGCCAACAGCCTCCGCACTGATAATTGAATCCGCCATCCTTGCACTCACTTTGTATTGGCCCCTCGAAATGACTAACGTGTGATTCTCCAGAGCCCTTAACACAAAATACGTCTCACTAAACCCCCATTTGATGCAACAAGCTTCACTACTATAAATATAGGTGCTAAGACGAGTATGGAGCCGACTAGTCCTTCTACAACAACAACCTCTGTATTTCTCCTCAGGTGTATATAAAGCACCGTGTTCGCTCCAAACATAGCATTCAGAACAAAAATGCATATGGTTTACTTTAGACGAATGCGTCAGCAGGCTCGAAGTTATATCCTTACCCCATCGAAACAACAACCAACACTAGATGTGTACTCTGCAACCGAAAACAGCATAACATATCTTTAGAGATATTCAACGAATGCAAGCACAGTAGAAAGCAGTGAATACGTATTGGAGACCTCACCTGGAGCAAATGCAATTCCAGTCGCTCAATTTTCGCCATTAATTTGGCGATATCTTCGCCCTTATCCGTGTGCTAAGAAGAAACGATTGATGAGAAAAGCTTGTTTATAGTAACCCCTAAACCGCTGCTTACTGTCCCCATTATGAACATATCAGAAGGTAACACGCGTTTTAGCTGCAAATGCCGTTCATTTTCCGCTTCAGTTTCAATGCAATGTAATGCTTCCGCCACTGTGCATTTTTTTATTTGCGTTGGCTCTCATTTTGAAGCACTGAATTTATGGCTTAATCATGACCCCCTACTACATAAAAAGACGATAAATAATGCATTAAGTCTGCTAATAAGGGATTTGTGATATGAAGGCGAAACACTGTTATCCGCCATTAATTTTGCAATGAATCAACCTCGTCTGCCTAAGTATGCACATGATATAGAAATGGGAGGGAAAGAAAGGATGTGCAGGGTGCTTACATTGGACTGCCGTTCAGTGAGAACCTCCTTTAGTTTCGCATGATAGGCCTGACTCTCTGCGTGCTTGCTGCGCACTAGCTGACCCAGCGCCACCTTGTCCCTTTCCACTTGTGCAAACTTGGTTCTCAAATTCACAAAACTCCTCAGCAGGTCGTGGAGGCAATTTAACAACCTCTCATCAACTTGGGATGATGCTATCCTTTCATCCAGTCCATCCAGAGCATTATTCTGCACTCCTTTCACTACCGCTTCCAATAGACTAATCACAATAGAATCAGATTGGTGCCTATGACTCAGCATATCAATTAGTCTCCTGGCAATGGTCTGGTTTTGGGGGTTCAAAATTGTGGGATCTGGATTACCATGATTCACCAGTTCAATCAGATAATCACGCAGCTCATGTTCCGCAGCAAGCTTGGAGAGCTGGGCGAAGCAGTTGATTATTGCATTTGCCTTCTCTGATAAGCTCGAGTCAGTCAAATTTGTTTGCTCTGAGGTTAAATTGCTCGTATCTTCATGCAACATCATTCTTATCATTTTTAAAACTGTAAACAATTCATTCCCTTCATCGATTTTTTTGAGTGTCAAAAGCTTCAATAAGGCATTGGCAACAGTGTAGTTGGATACCTTTCGTCGGATGGCTTCAGTAGACACGGTTTCAGTCAAGTCATTTCTGCAGTCGTCGATAACGTTGAATAAGGTGTCCAAGCAAGACAGCGCGGCTTTTAACTCTGGGACCAAATCAGTTTTGTCTACAGATGTAATACGATTTCGAATGCCTTCAATCGATTCCTTCTCCAACTGACTAACGCATGCAGCAGCGCTTTTTGTAAACAGTGCAGCACCTAAGCGGTTGACAATATTAAGGCCATCGACATCAAGTTTATAAGCAGTCGAATCAAAACTCTCTGAACCAGTTTCTATATCGTTGAGTATGCACAAAATGGCAGCTGAAAGAGCATCTTTGTACTCCAATTTCTCCACCAAATTGTTGAATTTGTCGACAATTTTCTGATCATCTTTTTCAACCTTTCCTTTACTGTTCAATAAAAAGTCACGAGGAGGATCCTTCCTTTTCGATAATAATTCACACAACCTTAAGACGGTTGGGCTATTTACATCCGCTATATCAATGACTTCGCCACAAGCTTCTAACTGATGGCAAATTTCTTTCAGAGCGCGCTCTAGTGGAGTGGAAGCAAACGCCGATCTCAGCATCTCAACTATGTCTGCATAGTGCTCTTCTACTTGAATAAGAGGACTGACATCTTCATCGAAGTCCGCCAGACGGCATTCGCCACGAAGAAATTTGGCGCAAGAGATTAAGGTTTTCTCCAGAAGTTTGCAAACATGCACAAGTCTTAGTGGGGATTGGTGTTGGGAGAGAGCAGAAGTAGAGACAGGTCCAATCGAACGGTCCAGAGCAGCACCAATGGGATCAGTGGTGACTTCGTTGGAGTACAACTCTGCACCATTGCAAGGAAGTGGACTGGGAAGAGGACACTGAAGCTGATCTATGTATGCGCGGGTCATCATAAGCTCCTGACGAGAAGCAGCCTCGGCGGCTACAAGGACGGCAACCTGTGCCTCCGGCTGCCTCGGTGGCCACTCCATCACAGCGTGATCAGACGCTAGCGGAGGCAGAAGACTTACAGCACTTGAAAGCGCCTCTCTTATTCGAATGAAACGCGACTCAACGGACTCTGAATTATAACCATCTATATCCATATCGCCAACATCACTAACGCCACCGAGAGCTGGAGTGTTGACTGATTCATTAACAGCTTCTCCGGTGCCATGCATGACTCGCACCTGCAACGTTAAAGCTTCGATTCATTTTGGGCGTTCTGAATAATTACAAGTGAATAAGCAGAGGGCCTAAAATGCCGCTTATTAAAAATGGGTGAAGATAAAAAATGGTATAGTCAATTGTCAATATGTACATTTCAAAAAAAAAGATTATTCAGATATTATATAATACCACTTGATGAGATAAACTATGGCCATTAAAGGTAGGAAAACTCACAGGCGGTGTATCAGTTTGGACAGCCGCATCAGTTGAGGATAAAGGCTTCTAAAACAATTTATCAGAAAACCTCAAAAGCCACCCAATGATAAGGGTAGGTGTTGGTTCGGCTATCTCTTCAGGTGCAATTTCTAAATCTAAGAGAGTATAACGGTTATGACAGAGGTTCGTGAAAGAACAGGGACGAAAAGACCCTGACCAAGTGTTAGTGTTATCTCGTGTAAAAAAGAAGCATAAACAATAATGAAACTTGTACTGGTTTTGGTGGGCTGCAGAAACCGAACTCGGGTGCAGCAATATATTCCAATTTGAAGATTGCAATCGTGACAAAAGACTCAATAAGAATGTGGATTCGGCAGTAAGTAAATGACTACTAGGACAGGAACACAAGTAGACCTTCAGACCTAAGTGATTCATATAATTACCCACACATGCATCAGTTGGTACCACTGAAAACTGCTGTCATCAAAAAACAACAAAGAAAGTTGGAAGGCATGTTATCCGACACGATGTGAGTGTGGAGTTTCACAACACCGAGACAAACTTAAACATGTATCTCAATGACATAGTACCAGGATATCAGAGGCACGATCTGAATGGAGATCCTCAAGTTGGCAAATACGTTCCTTGAGACGCGTCACGAGAGCAGCGTTGGCTTCCTGAAGTGTGACTATTTCTTGGCACTTCTCCTCTCGGCACTGTTCCAGCTGTTTACGCAGTGACTGCAATCACAATGTACGGGAGAGAGACAGGAATAACGTGCTATGACAATAACAATCAAGCCACACAAATTGATAGGCTAACGAACAGGAAGGACTAAAGGTAGAAACACATTTTAGAAGAAAATCTAGCTGAACTAGACCAATATTAGTGTCACAGTGACAAAGTGGGTAGCACATTATAAACGACCGGTTCCATGTAACCCAATGAAGACCCTAAAATAAGCACCAATGTATCGGGCGGATGAATGGTAATAGTGCGAAGTCAACACAGAATCATGATGCTACCACAAGCACAAGGATGGCAAAAGGTTTACAGGAAAACACTATTAATATCAAGCGCTAGTATTTATGCACAAAACACCGTAATAACAAATACCGTACCTCTGCCTCTTCTTGCTTAATTGACAACTCTGAGAGAATCGCAGCCTAAAAGGCAACCCCATAGGAATAAGTTCACTTCCTGTTGTAATAAAACGAAAATTAACAATAGTTAACATTCTCGCGCATTTGTTATCATTTAACCGTAGCTTTCCATCCTAAGTGTTCATAGAACCACCTCAGATTTCCGCGATTGTTGAACCACGACATCAGAGCGCAAAAAATTCTCAACAGTCACTAAAAAAAGTGCTAAAAAGTGTCTTACTAATCAGAGCTGCATCACTCCTTTCCGGGGATACATGGTTCGAAACACTTGGTGGTAAACATTCGCCCTCAGGCTCACCTCTCCAAAGAGTTATTTCCGCAATCAATTCCTTGATTTGTGCCTACAAGTAAATGAAAGGATTTGGGTCATTAAACCTCTTTCCCACGTAAACGGTCATCACTTTCCTCCTGATTGCGTATGACCTGCAATTCAAGCGATTCTATTCTTAGATTCAATTCTGATATTTCATCTCGGTAATTTTGGATCTAGAATGTTAATAGATTTCCTAGATAATCTACCTCCGACTTGTAATCACTAACAAGACGTTCCAGTTCGGCGATTCTTGATCGGGAATTTCTTAGATCGGCAACAGGATCTAAAAGCGCAGTAATCATGAAGAATACAGCTTCACCGAATCAAAATACAACGAAAGTTAAAAATAATTGTGCTTTAGTACAAAAGAACAGTTAAAAACAGTAGTGCTTTACGGCACTAATAAATGAGTAGTTTACCTTCAATTTCGGAGGTGCTTTCACTAAAAATCTCCCTCGCCGCAGACGACACCAAGCGAGCTGCTGAAGACGATTTTAAGCTTTCCAACCAAGCCATCCGAGACGTACAACGATGCCAATTTTGACGTCCAGGATTACGTAGTATTGCAGGCTAAATTGTCACCATGCCAATCTCACACCTAAGCTGTTTCTAAATATTGCAAAATGAGTAAGATGTGAAAAGAAACCTTTCAGAAGTCCTAAAATCATCATGAAAATTAGAGGAAAGTATAGTGAAAAATTAACTAGATGTATGAGCCAGTACCCATAATTTTCTTTGAAAATTAGGTTTATTGCAACCATAATGGTCTTAAAGCTTAATTTTTAGTGACTTAAACTTTTACGTTTATCCAAGTTTTATCATCCATTTCCTACCTCATCATTAGCATACGCCTAGAAGTTGGTATAGGCCACTCCACTTGGACCTTTATTCTGCTTATATTTTCGTTAGTCTCCTATAAATAGTTCCAGGATGCGCTAAGTTTTGTAACAAACAGGGAAGATATGATATTTACCTTTTCCAAATCTGAAGAACATTACATTCAAACTGGCAGTTACTTTGACATTCGTTTAGTTCTTGTACAAGTAGGTTGATCCTTGGCCAAGCCAGGTTTGCATCACTTTTTATTCCTCTATAACACTTGTAAATAGCCCGACTTAATACCTTCTTCTACCTGGGGGAGTCTCCGGGTAGTATTCTGCACTCAAGCATGTGATGTGACTTTTAGTTAGATCGGAAGTTGTATTTGCGCTGCAGTCTGGAAAAAAACAACTGTGACGCCTAGAGACTTCTTGTTCGGTAGTAGGTGTAATGCTCTGTTTATGTTGTAGTTACTGCCTGTCTACCCTCTGGTCCCTGGTTCTCAGGCTTTAAGAGGAAGTTGGTTGCAGACGATTTACTAGGCATCGCTGTAGGAAGGATGGGGAATAAGATACAGATGCGATGAGTAGGAGATATCAATCGCAGGGAGGCTCCTCGCCGACCTCGCGCACGTGATCCTCGTTCCCAATTGCTCCCCACCTCTCACCTATAGAAGTCCACTTAAACAAGCTAGAATATATCACACAGCCCCCCTTCTCTTTCAAGCACCGTCCCCGGTGCTGATCAGTGGGGTTCGATCGGACGGAACCTCTTTTTCTGGTTCCGCATAGACTTCCTCTTCGTAACCTACTGAAGGTGGACCTGTATATGGCCTAATCTTGTTATGGTGTACCGTTTTAGGCCGAGTAGCGATCTCCGCTTTCCGAACGAGATAATTCGTGGGCGGCAGGACTTTGATTATCCGGTAGGGTTCCTTGCTCCAGGGGTGGTAGAATTTCCGATGGGTTCCTGGCAGGGGGATTGGTCTATACAATTGCACCAATCGCTCCCTTTAAAGACGTTTGTTCGGCTCCGTCTATCGTAGGATCTCTTTTGTCTAGCGTATGCTTTCTGCAGTTGTCTGCGCGCGACATCAAAAACTTTCCTGAGGTTCCCTTTTAGTCGTAAGACCTACTGAGGCGCATTATCACCTGTCGGTTTCTTATGGGGAAGCAAAATGTCCGAATGAAGTCTCATTTCACGGCCCGACTCCAGTCGAGGTGTGAGCAGAGGCTCGGTAGGCAAGAAGAGTCCCTCCTAGGTATAGATCCCAATCCTCGGGCTGCACCTTTTTGGTCAAGGCTTTCAGTAACTCGACGAGGGTACGATTTGTCCTCTCCACTTGTCCATTACCCTGGGGGTAACCCAGCGTCGTACGCGTCTTACGGATTCCAAAGGCTTAGCATAGCTCTTTGAAAAGACAACTTTCGAAGTTCACCCCTTGGTCACTATGTACGGAATCAGGCACTCCATGTTTGCAGACCCAACGATTGAAAAATGCGGTTGTTACTGTCTCAGCGTCTTGCGTCTGCAGGGGCTCGGCTTCCGCGACCTTGGCGAAGTAGTCTACCATCACCAAAATATAGCGGTTTCCTCTCGGAGTCGTGGGAAGGGGAA